GTGTTGGAGTGCCCCTCGAGTACCCTTCCATCAAAATGGACTTGTGATTTGGATAAAAGCGATCAAATTCCTGACTCTTTTGAGTATCTCTGAGTTCCCAAGATGTCTTTATTAGTGTCTCTTCTAGCTGTTAGATATTTCCTCGTTAACAAAGAAAAAACAATAGAAAGGGAAAAAAAACAGGAAAAAAATTACAAGATGTTGGTTTGCTTTAAGATAACACCTTCCAGGATTTCCCATATAACATATTGAAATCGTGAGAAGTTACTCTTTAATCATTTTTTAAGGTTGAATGGTTAAAATAGCTCACTCTTACAACATCATGGTAGTTCCTTTCAGTGCAGAAGTGTTTGAATTGTCCCTGTAGTAATGGGGTAAGGTTTTCATCAAGTGTTCAGTTGAAACTTACACAGTAATGAGACTAAGAAGTGTCTATTGACAAATGATAACAACAACTTTATTCGCACTGTACGATTACAATCACAAGTTTTCGTATATTATGTAAATTGACTAAAGGGACAGAAGCTGGTCAGCTGGCAAAATAACTTACGAGACAAACTGGTTGGGTATATAACATGTATAGTTTTGTGTCATATTCATCTCTTAAAATCATTGGGCAACTCTTTAGAACAGTGCAGCTTTTCGTGAGGTTGTTCAGTTTACGTCGGTGGCTTATTAAAACTATGAAATGAATACTAACAACTGCCTTTGTAGCTCTTCATCCAGAAGAGGCTTCTAAGCGTTTTTCCAGAGGTAAAGTAAAGTAAAATAAAGTAAAATAAACTTTATTTACCCAGGGTGGTCTCCTTAGGGGCCCTGGATCTTAAAGAATTAATTTACATTAGGAATTTTCAGAAACTATCACATTTAAAGAGCCTAATAAAAATACAACAACAGAATTTAAGAACTACATTTCAAGCCTAAAAATACAATGCAAAATCACTTTTAAAGCCTAAAATATAATAGAAGATCGAATTCATGATAAAAAAGTGTCTTGCTCAGCGGCAGATGATCAGTCGAAGGAAGGTGACATTTATCACTACTAAAATTACCGTTGTAGATGTTCTGGCAGATTAGATTTGACACTGACATCATTTCAGCTTTACGTTAGCTCTCATTTATTACTTAAATGGAGTTAAGGCGGTGTTTCAACTCTTCCTGCTCGATGTTAAAAGGAAAACCGGTCTGGTTGAGCCTCTGGAATTTGTCCCGGATTCCTATGCTCACGTTTATTACTTGGTGCATTCAAGGAAATCAGTTTTGCATCCATTTTGGATCGTCGATGCAGGTCAAAGATTTTAGCCATTTGAAAATACTTTTTTAAACTTCCTTCGATTGATCATCGGAAAAAGGACATTAGAGAGATTTAGCACTGCGTTAACGTGAAACGTGAACGGGAGAAGTGACCACGTGACCTTTTTCCCGCCATTTTTTCACGTTTGCCGGTTGCGCTTTGCCGTTTCTACGTGAAAGTAACCTGTTTCGCTTTTGCCGTGCGCTTTTTCTCGCACCGAGTAGACGTTAATTGCTGGAAAAAAGGCCACCAAAACTATTCCTTGTGAGTCATGCAATGGCATCTTCAAATCCACCATGGCGTGAGCCCACGTGATAGTCTGTTGGCATACTGCAATAAATCTTCAAGGGTAAGTGAAGTCAAAGAGATCAACACTGTGTTTACAGACAGAGACATCTCATCTGTTCAATATCTTGGGGGCTATGTACTGCACAATCTACACAAGAAGCATCCCCAAAAACAATCATCTGAAAGCCAGCAAGCTATGGCAATCTTGAAAGCTGGAAAGTCTGAAATCAACACTTCACAAAATCTGATTTCAAGTGTGACTCGTGGTGGACTTTGGTTTATTACTCAATCAGCACAAAAGGTTTTCTGCAAAACTGAAGTGATCTTTAGAGAAATTACACATGTAGTTGGTTTACAGCAAATTGAGATTCCCAGTATTATTTCGTCAAGGTCTTCAGTGCCTGACAACCCGTGTGAAATTCTACATCATTTCCGTGTATTTCCACAAATAATTTTCCACCCCCTCAGTGTGTGTATTCTCCATACTGTTCTGTAGACATTTCTCAAGATGCTGACAAGGAGAATTTATTTAACGATCAAGAGCTTCTTTAGTTGGTGATCATTTTCTTTATTCTAGTGACTGATTCAGGGGGGTGATATCGTAAGGAGAAATTAGATGTTGGTCACTCTTAGGGGGTTAAAAGGTTAATCGTTGATTTATCATTTTCAGTGTTTTCTTTTACAAGATCGTACTATCTGCTTTTTGCGCTAACAATCGGTAGAGCTTTTACTATCTTCTGTTAGTGTTTTGAATCCTAGTTGCTTGGTTCAGATTTAATGATTTATTTATAGTCAACATTTATTTGAGATTTCAATTTGAAGTGCGAAGTCATTTAAGTTTAAGCTGTATAACGACGAGAATCCTGTTTTGATTTTCATGTCTAACTTCCATCAGTGGAATTGCTGGGTTTGTCAACTGACCCTAAAATTGGACCCAGACAAGGAGAATTTGCAGTGAAAAGATTGATTGTTGCGGTGAAAAGATTGATTGTTGCAGTGAAAAGATTGATTGTTGCAGTGAAAGATTGATTGTTTGATCGGAAGTGTTAAGTTGTTTTGTTGTTCATCTGATAACAAATGTTTAATATTTCACAGTCAGTGGGTATGCATGCTCATTGGTGTACTACAGAGTTCAGAGTTAGTTAATCAGTGTCAGCTAAAGAGTGATCCAAAGAAAGAGAAGCGAAAGGAATGGATATGCTGTAAATAAGAAGTTAGCGGAAGTTACAGTATTGAGGAAGAACCAGAAGGAAGGGTGTAGAGTCCCTGGTGCATCCACTGATCGTGGTACGCTCTCCAGCTACAGTTCCTCCGCTTCCCCCCCCCCCCCCCCCTCAACAAAATAATGGTTATGTTATCCATTGCACTAATCTGTGAAACCAGAATTTTCCTCAACTCGCCGCGCAACGATTAGTAACATGATTAATCATCGTCGAGGCTGTCTGTTATTTATCAAGAATAATAGTTATAGTTGGAAGAGCGAGAGGTCAAATAAACTTTCGGATCTCGAGATTGAGAGTGAAAACAAAAGAATAGAAAAATACACTCGAACTTTTATTAAATGGTCACCCACGGGTCTACCGCTTAATAAAGCTTGTCCGGTCAATACAGGTTCCACAGAATAGGCGTATCATAAGAAACGATAAAAAACACCATGTTTTGTCATAACTGTTCTCTTTATTTACAAAAACAGGCTAAAAAATACTACTAACGTTGATTTTGGGATATAATAACATGGGCGGTTAAATTTTATTTGAAAGATTACTCCTAGCCGGTTTCATTTGCGCTTCAAGTGACCGTTCGACACAGGTTGAAGACGATACAATTGCAAGCAAACCATTGGGACTTAGTAAAGGGACCATGACCACTTAATAGAGGTGACGGTTTGATAGATTCGAAAGTACAGTAATAAAGGGGAAAAAATGTTGGGACTTCGAAAAGTGACCGCTAAATACGGTACCGCTTAGTACAGGTTCGACTGTATTTACACATCACTAACGAATCACCGCCTTTTGTCCACAAGGCAAATTGGTTTGGTTACTCGGAAGGGGAAGTTGAAGTTTGCGGTACTGGACAAGTTTTCTTGCGGTATTGCGGTAATTTAAATCTAGTATTGCGGTATTCTCCGAGCCTGCGGTATGCGTTGCTATAGCATTTTGGACGGTATTAAAATTATCCTCAAAGTCTTTCACAGTTTTCTGAGCCTTTTCCAGTTTCCAATTATTTCGGAAACAGGCTGAAACATGTCCTCCCCCTTACAGATGTCGATGTTTGTACATTTTCCTTTTCTTTTTTTTTTTTTTTTCCTTTTAATATACCCATATAGCCCCCTGAAATTATTTTCGAAATGGCTTTTTTCCCGTTTCGCACTTTTACGCAGATGAAGAGTACATCACTCCTCCTGGGGTTGTGATTCAAAAACGTTTTTGTTGTTATCTTGATTTGTTTTGATTATTCTTTCAGCGTCCATGTAGGGTTATTTCGCTGGTAAACCGATAGAAAGCGCAGTGTCCTTATTGTTAGCGTGGACATGTTCGTGTTAAATTTGACTTGCTGACTAGCCTATGTGCATGCCATGAGTGCTATGCATAAATTTACTTTTCATCTTCTGTCAGCAACAAAATAAAGCATGAAATGTTGCCCAAAAAGTGAAATTCCTCAGTTTTACCAAAGGCTAAGAAAAGGAACCAAGAGTGGATGAAGTTGTGTTGTGATTCCTTGATAACTACCGAATTTCTTAAAACAAGCGCCCTCCAACAAATAAGCGCCTACTCCGGCCTACGCCACTCAAGTTATAGCAAACAAGCCCCCCAATCGAAGAAGCGACCACCTTCCTCCCTCATTTTCTGATAATACGATGGGGATACAAGGAAAACCTGTTTTCTATTGCAACTATTTAAACATTTTTAAGCTTCAATTCAACGGGATCAATAGAGGCTCAGTAAGGGTTTCTTTATAAACGCTCCCTCGCTCTTCTTCCAATAGGCGCCTTTTACTAAGCCGAAATTTGAAAAATATGCGTCTGGACGCTTCTTCAGGGAAATTCGCTTCGGTTTGCTTCGTCTAAAGTAGTCGGTCAGAGACTAGATCATTTGTGGCTTTTTGTCAAGGTGTAGGGTCAGAGATTAAATTGTTTTCCTGGCTTGTTTATTTTAATTTATTTTCATTGAAAGAAGGTGACATTTTTTGAACGTTTCGTTTACCTTGCCGGAACCTAAAGCCAACGCGAAGGGTATGTAAATTAAAATATCGCTTTTCTTTTCGAATATCTCCTCCAGAGTTCAAAACAAAGAGCGTTTCGATTTATGCTGGCAGAGGAAGTTTTTTTTGCAAATTCTTATTTATTTTCACGGGGTTCGTGTATATCAAACATGTTCATCTGTCATGTTAGCGTTACAAATGACCACTGCAATTCTTATTTGATACAAAATAGCCTTTATTGTCCGTACAAGGAGCTTATTAGCCCGTCAGTTTTGCATTCTAGGCTTCTTACTGAACGTTTCAAAACTGCTACTAATCTGATAAACGTTTTAAACTATTCTAAAATAAGTTGAAGTTTAAGCGTTAGCCACTGCTTAAATTACAATTTAACGGACACTTTACTGATTTACTGACGAAACTGTGAAGCAAAAGAAGCAAGTAGAGCTTTCACAGCGTGGCTCAATTCTACGCCTGGTCACTTTCTTTTTCAGTTGACAAGCATTTTGAGGGACATGGATTTCAATTCCGGCGGTACATTGTTGATTTTCCCCTTTTTGCATCAGTGCTTCTTTTCGAACTTGGTCTGAAACATCTCGTCCCCAGATACCAGAAATACTTCGACGTAATTCTTCTTCAACTTTTGTGATATCGTGGCAGGGAACGATTTTCCTGTATTGGAGAATGAGATGTCGTGATCGTTCGTCTGTTTTGGTAAAGGTTACTGTCTTACTGTAACCCCGTTCGATGAGAGCCGCTTTGCTAACTTTTCTCTCTATTTCCTCTTTGCCAGCAGTGTAGCTTCTGTCAAAGAAGCGGATATCCACCTTTCTTTCTGCGGTTAAACCCTCTGGGAATTAAAAAAAGGATTCTGGTTTAGAATTTTTTGATGAAGGAATTACTGAAGGCATGCAGAAAGGAAGTAACGCTCTTGCCACGTCTAACTCGACGAGGTCAGAAATTTCTGTTTACAACCATTCCTTGTCAAAATTATGAAATCGATAACCCTCCATTATTTGAGTATGATATAAACCGTGAACAAGGTACCTCGTCGCATGTAAATTTTGTTCTACATATGATAAAAATGTTCAGCTATTCGTAATCTTTAATGTAGACCAATGCAAAACTATCTAAGTTGAACACTCGATCCTTAGAGATAATGAAGTTAGGTATGGCTACTCACAAAAAATACCAGTTATTTCGACCAAAGCGAAAATGATAATAAAAATGAGCGGCGTTTTGCTCCGATTTCGAAATGACGCCATTCGAACGTCCCATGTCTCAGAATCTACTGCATGACAATACACCTTAAGGTGTTCTATATATTCCTTACTCTATCAACAAAAGCTACGATGTATTACGGTTTAAACCGGAATGATAATAAAAAAGATAAGCAGCGTATCGCAACCTCTTTGAGATGATCCCTTAAATCAAGTTTGACAACGTTAGGTGTTAAACAAACCCTACAACCTCAACTAGAACATACCTTGTATCGCGGCTGAAGCCGAAATGATTATAAAAACGAGCAGCATCTTTGGCCCCCTTTGAAATGACGCCATTCCTTGCTCTAAGTGCCTCAGAGGATTCCACGGTCTGACAGTTTAGGTTAAGATGCCACGTCGGTGTTCATGCGTTTGAATATTTATCAGATCCTCCGTCTTGTTTAAGTATACGAGGAAGTAGCACTAAAGGAAGCAAAAAGCTGACATTATTCAATTCCCCGTTGGTGCCTTTCAGTTCGAGATGGGCGTAATGTCAAGAAGAACGTCCTTTCTGAAGCTTGTAGCAAAATTTAATCGTCGTTAGGAGGAACGTATAATTTGGAAGAATGTATGTCAGTACTGGGTTATTGATTTAAGGATATTCCTGAAGAGCTATTCAAACATGTATGGACAAACCATGGAAAATTGTGACACAATATACAGTCAACCTCTTCACAACAGTTAACTTTGGAGAAAGAATAGATGGGCCGTTTAAGAGAAGGGGTCGTTTCGAGAAGATATCGGGGTGTAATATGAACCCAATTTTCGTGTTGATCAACATCTTCAAAATCAAGGAAACTTTACTACCGACTAACAATTATAATACATTACGGCTGAAGCTGAAAAAAGTATATCTATATATTTTTAGTTTTCAGACAATAAAATAATGTTTATAGAACTAAACGAATATATTGGCTAGCAGGATTTGCGCTTTTTGTACCGCAGTCACTGTCAAAAGAAATCTCTCAAAGGTTGAATGCCTTATCGAGCTTTTAAACATTTTACTTACTCGTCAAAGCAGTTGTCTCACTTCTTGTACCACGGGAGGAATGATGACTCCTGCCCACAAAGAGAGGTTGCCTTTGTCAATGATGGTTCGAATTAAATTTTCTAACGTTTGTTACTTTCAACATCACAGCAAAAATGTTTTTAAAAGTTAAATTTTCTCAATGAAATTACGTTCGGTTAATCAATCATCAATCGATGGGTCATCAGAATCCCGAACTGTCAATTTATCTCGGCGACAGTTTGTCCGTCAACAGTCACAAGTTATTAAAGTGCACCTAAACCCAAAAATTTTTTTTCGCTTAACGAAATAAGCTTATTTTTTGGAGTATTTCTGTGCAAAAATGTTTTAATTTGCTTAAATCTTAAATTTTCTGTGCCTAATCAAAATACGGAAAATCGGCCGCCACGTAGTTATTTACCTCAAATACGTTAACGTTGTTATGAACATGAAATACGACAATATAGGCGAACTTGCTTCAACAAAAATTACCAGATTTCCTTTTTTTATTAATCATTTCCTGTCCACGTAGCTTAACACTTCCGCTGTACAGCTATATCCTGTTTTTGTAGCAAAATACATTTATCTTATTGAACGTTTTGTTGTGTAGTATCACTGAGTATTTTTACGAGTTGTGCCGTATTTTGACGAGCCCGTTGGGCGAGTCAAAATACAAATAATGAGAATACTCAGCGATACTACACAACAAAACGTTTAAAACGTTATTTATTATCCAACACGCCAAACTGTTATTTCAGTGCTGGCGAATTTCGCGGATATTTATTTTCGAGGAGTGCGTGACAGAGGTATGCAAAGCGGAACGGAATTGGCGCGTTGTCGTGTTGCTGTTTCTATTTTCTTCAGTAAATGAAGAAATTTCCTGGTCGTCTAGTTGTTTTTCTTCGTTCAATTTATCTAATAAACTTGGATCTATATTTGCCAGCCATTCCGACTCTTCGTTGTCAGAAATATGATTCAAATCGTCCGCCATTTTTTTTTGTAACTTCAATCCAATTCTTCGCTTGCGCGATGTGAGAAAACCTGTCTGAATGGTTCTCTGGAGTACAAATACCGCGTGATATTTGTTCTCGTCTATGGCGTTATTTGTGCTCTACGGATTGAAGTTGGATAATAAATTTTGTTACGACGTAATTACAAATTTGTTGGTTTAATAAGAGATATTTTTGAAGACTAAAGGCTTGATAAGAACAAAGAGCAAACAAACAAAATAGCAAATGAAATAGATATAAAACGATACATGGGTGCGTCTACATATGGAATTTCTCATGCAACGCGTAGGAAACTATTGGAAAATAAAAGGAAACGTATTTCCTCTCACTGAGCACAAAAGGATATCCCACCGACATTCTCCCTTGATTTTAAGCTTCAAGTTTGAAAATAATGTGATCTGATCTCCTTTTAATTAACTCGACAAGGCCAGAAATTTCTATTTACAACCATTCCTTGTCAAAATTATGAAATCGATAACCCACTATCATTTGAGTATGATGTAACCAGTGAACGAGGTACCTCGTTGCATGTACATTTTGTTCTACATATGATAAGAATATTCAGGTATTCGTAATCTTAAATGTAGACCAAAACTCGTTAAGTTTAAATGCAAAACTATCTAAGTTGAACACTCGATCCTTAGAGATAATGTAATTAGATATGGCTATCACAAAAAATACCCGCTATTTCGACTAAAGCAAAAATGATAATAAAAATGAGCGGCATTTTGCTCCGATTTCGAAATGACGCTACTCGAACGTTCCATGTCTCAGAATCTACTGCATGACAATACACCTTAGGGGGTTTTATATATTCCTTACTCTATCAACAAAAGCTACAATGTATTACGGTTTAAACCGGAATAATAATAAAAAAAGATAAGCAGCGTATCGCAACCTCTTTGAGATGATCCCTTAAATCAAGTTTGACAACTCAGGTATTAAACGTACCCTACAACATCAACTAGAAAATACCATCATGTATCGCGGCTGAAGCCGAAATGATGATAAAAACGAGCGGCATCTTTGGCCCCCTTTGAAATGGCGCCATTCCCTGCTTTAAGTGCCTCAGAGGATTCCACGGTCTGACAACATCGGTTAAGATGCCACGTCGGTATTTATGCGTTTGGATATTTATCAGATCCTCTATCTTGTTTATATTTACGAGGAAGTAGTACCTATTACTAATTTCCTGTTCAATAGAAGGAAGCTTGAGACCGGATACGTATTTCCAGTTGAAGCTTAACACTTCCGCTCTAGAGCTTTTTCCTGTTTTTTGTAACAAAATACATTTTGGCACGAGGTAATCACAAATTTGTCGAATTAATAAGAGATGTTTTTGAAAACTAAAGGCTTGATAAGAACAATGAGCAAACAAACAACTTAGCAAATGAGGTAAATGTAAATGATACACGGGTGCATGTACATATGGAATTTCTCATGCAACGTTTAGGAAACTATTCGTAAATAAAGGAAGCGTATTTCCTCTTCCTGATCATAAAAGGATATCCCAGCGGTATTCAGCATTAATTTAAGCTTCAAGTTTGAAAAAAAATGTGATCTGATCTCCTTTTTATTATAAATCATTTAGAGCTTACTGAGTAACAGATAACGTCCCTAGGGTACCCAATCAATTATTAATTTGCAGCTGTTACGTTTTTTACGTTCTGACTCAAATCGTCGAGTTTGGCTTTTCTCGCGGAGACCAGAAGACAGTTTGTCTTACCAGAAACGGAGGTGGGATTGTCGAACCGACCACAGTTCAGAATTTAATTTTTTCTAGCTGACCAATATGTTACCGGGTAAGAGATCTTTGGGAGCTCTGCTAGGCCTATCCGATCGAACGCATGGTGTTCCCTTAACCCGTAACTGAATCTCTCACGTTAAATCTTTTGCGTTACACTGAAAAAAAACTACTTGATAGAAAAGTGTTGATTTTGTGCGGTTCTAGTTAATTTTTGTGGTTGATTTTTGGCAGAATCGAATTATTTCAGTAGTCTTTCTTCCTTTGTCACGCACCTTACCAAGTCCTTTGAGTCCCTCCCCACCCCGCTTCATGGAGCTCTTGGCTTCCCCGTCGGGGGATGCAGGGCCGTTACTCGGTAGTCAGCAGTTTCATTTCGCCCTGCATGACAATTTTCACCCAAAATATGTGCTTGTTGTTCGGTTATTCCTTTGAATCAGGTGAAAATGCCGAGAAAGAAATCTTCAGAAAAGTGTGGTAAGAACTCGCGGGAAAAAGAAGACTTTTACGCCTCACGATTCCACAACTTTAATGTAGAGAGGTAAGCTTTCAGATATTACGCATTCGTCTTCGATCAGTTCGTCGAATCTCTGTTGCCTTGCACTATCGATGTTATTTTGAATCATGCTGTTATCTTTGTTAGTGAGACTGACGAACGCGTTGATGAGGTGGTGTAGCATCTGCCAAAAAACGGATTTCCATCTTTCTTTCTGCGGTTATACCTTCTGGGAATTTAAAAAAGGATTCTGTTTCCCATTCTTGAAGAAGTTACTGAAGGCATGTTGAAGGGAAGTCACACTCTTTGTTGCGTTTTACTAGAATATACCAGAAACTTCTGTTTACAACCATTCCATGCCAAAATTATGAAATCGATAACATATCATTATTTAAATATCATCTAACAAGGTTTCTCGACGCAGGTAAATTTTTTTCGTTCGCATGATAAAAACAATCAGCCATTCGTAATCTTTAATGTCGACCAAATCCGTTAAGTTTCAATGCAAAACTACCAAAGTTGAACACTGGCTTTGTTGTCTGTTTTTTTTATGAGGTTACCAAGAAACTCAACATATAATAACTCTGAATTTGGATTCATTTGTGATTTCAGTCAAAGACCAAAGGTCGAGGTTTGATCTCGTTAAATGTTAAAAAACTACAGACATTGGATTTATCATCTGAACGGCTAGTTTTGAGGCATGGGGTAAAATGGACGGCAGAATACTGAGTGTATTTAATTAGGAACCGTGTAACACTAGGTTTATTGTAAACAATATCACCACAGATTACTACGAAGCGACCGAAGTGAGTCCAATCCAATCTTTATGATTTAGTTCTTTCACTTCGAAATATTTTTTAGTTACTGCTTTTAATTGGTCACCTCATCATTTTTATCATTTATTCTTTGTCATTGTTGCTGTTGATGATATGAATTTTACCTTTCCCCAGTTTGATACCCCTCCTCTCAATGTTCAATTCTTTTAACTGCTAGTCCATTTGACATTTCAAAAGTTTTTAACAGAGTTTACATATTGATGACTCTGGAAAGTGAAATTATGAATCATAATCCTATGCTAAAGGGACTATAATAGATGATGGACGTTGGAGGGAGGGGGTTGGAGCTCGCCATTCACGGTGATGGCGCAGGGAAAGAGACTTTTCCAGTTTCCGATTATTTCGGAAACAGGCTAAAACATATTCTCCTCCTTACAGATGTAAATGCTTGTACAAATTCTTTTTTTTTTTAATTCAATTTATCCATATAGCCCTCTGACATTACTTTCAAAATGTTTTTAATCCCATTCCGCATTTTACGCAGATGAAGTGTACATCACTCCTCCTGGGGTTGAGATTCAAAAACGTTTTTTGTTTTTATCTTGATTTGGTTTAAATATTCATCCAGCGTTCATGTAGGGTTATTTCGCCGGTAAACAGATAGAAAGTGCAGTCTCCTGATTGTTAGTGTGGACATGTTCGTGTTAAATTTGACTTGCCGACTAGCCCATGTCCATGCCAGGAGTGCTGTGCATAAATTTACTTTTCATCTTCTGTCGGCAACAAAATGAAGTATGAAGTGTTGTCAAAAGCTGGAATTCCTTTGTTTTACCAAAGGCTAAATAAATGAGACAAGGGTGGATGAAGTGGAGTTATGATTCCTTGATAACTAGTGTATTTCTTAGAATGAGCGTCCACGCTTTAATAAGCGTCCTCTCCCGAATAAGCGCCTACTTGGGCCAAGGCCATTGTAGTTATATCAAACAGGCGCCCCAATCGAAGAAGCGACCACCTTACTCCCTCACTTTCTTAAATGTTGCGGGGGGGGGGGGATACATGGAAAACCTGTTTTCTATTGTCAATATTTGGAAATTTTAAAGCTTCCATTCAACAGGATAAATACAGGTTCAGTAAGAGTTTCTTTATAAGCGCTCCTGTACCCTTCTTCCAATAGGCGCCTTTTTTTGAAGGTGAAATTTTAGATATGCCTCTGGACGCTTATCCAAGGAAATTTGCTTCGGTTTGCTCCGTC